GAATTATTTATTGATTGTATCACCGAAAGATAATTGTGGTTGTTGATACCTGCAAACTTATGAGAATAGCTTTGCATCATTTTATCGGTTTCATTCATTTCTTTTTTTTCTACAGATTAAAAGGTGCACTCTTATTTGGAACAATTATTCTAATTGGTACGGGATATACGTTTTTCAAGAAATTTTTGACTGATCGTGACAGGAAATTGTTTGTAATTGTTCTACCACTTCAGGTTAGTTTATTCCGATAGCGTTTTGTGCTGGTTTTTGGGTTATTGATAATGTTTTATGATTTAAAATGTCAGAAGTTGACAATAATTCCAAGTACAGCAGTTATGGTTTCATTACATCGTACAATTATTACTTTATTGTAAGATCGGAATTTCATTACATCGTACAATTATTACTTTATTGTAAGATCGGAACGTGACAGTCGTCATGAAGTAAAAATTTAGACATTGAATACTGTCGCAAAGTTGAGACAAATGAAATTTCTATGGGAAGGAAATTGATTAATATGCTTGGATAAGGTGATTTGAAGTTACTTTTATTTTCAAATTCGAAACTTAGCGAAGTATATTTCCGACAGATGATATGAATGGTGAGGGTACTGTTGTATGACTTCTGTTTAACATGATCCGGGTGAAAAAGTACCAATGATTGATATGTGGTTAAATTGAGCAAGAGAGTTTGATAGGTCTCTCGATGTGTACCTTTTTAGGAAGATTAGTCCTCTAGTGCCGATTTAGTTATCTCGTTGAAATTATAATTCAAATGTTATTGAAGCTATTCTTATGAATTATATGAATTTGTTGCTGTAGGTAATCGACAACGTTGCAATGATTATCATTGAAGAAAGTGAATTCGGGGAACAAGGCTATCAGTTCTGGCTACAAGTATTCATATTTTTCGATATTGTTTGTTGTTTGGCAATAATTTTTCCAGTCATATGGTATGGGTCGTTGTTCGTTACTTTTCTATCTATCATTTACATTTAAAGAAGAAATTGGAGATGTTGGAAATTCATTTACTACCATGCATATTGATTAAGTAGACTCGAAGGGTCGAATTGATCCATACTAAATGAATTGAAATAAATAGGGCAGGATCGATTTCAATCACTTTTTGTAAAATTTGATTAAACTGGCTGCAATTCGAGCTAACTGACGAAAATGAGTTAAAATGGATTTTCGGCTCGTAAAAATAAATATATTTGTGTTTACACATATGTTCTTCAGGTCGATGCGCCATCTACAAGAAGGTGCTCGAAGCGATGGAAAGACTGCTTTCAATTTAGAGAAATTAATATTATTTCGACATTTCTATCTAATCATAATTGGTTATATCTACTTGACTCGTGTAGTTAGATTCATAATTGAGGTTAGTATTTTATATTCCCACTCATTTCTTCATCAGAAATATATTTCTTAATTTTCAAACATTTTTTTTATCTGCAGTGTTCATAAAATTTTCGAAACTATCCGAATATTTGCTTGCTTTACGCAACATAAGGTGGCTTTTTACTAAAAATTTGGAAAATTTACAAATAGCTGTTGGGTAGCCTTTTTTTGATATTTTGTATAATGATGCGTTCTACCTCATTTGTGAAATAGTATCACATTTCCTTGCTCATTCTGAAATAAAACTTTAGTCTTGGATTATTGCGAAGGATGCCATACCATGTTTTCGTAAAAGAAAAAAGCACGAACTTTGATTGTTCTTGCTTGATGGAATTATTATAAAGGAAAACAAGATTTCAGGCAGTGGTGCCGTTTAATTATGACTGGATAACTGATTTTGTGGTTCAGTTCTCAACACTTTTGTTTTTCTTAACTGCTGGCTATCAATTTAGGCCACAGGAAAGAAATCCGTATCTAAAATTGGCTCAAGAAGATGACGACGGCGAAGCGTATGTTACTCCTTTAATGTTTTTTGTTCAAAATTTCAAAAAATTTTTTTTCGAAATTTTTTTTTTCAAAAATTTTTTTTTCAAAATTTTGAACATCTCCCTTTTTCTTAAAAATTATACAATATAATGGTGCTAAAGATAAGGAGGAGTACAAAAGGAAGAATGAAATACTATCAGTGTAACATTCTTCCCAAAGATTACTTATTCAGCAAATCGTTTATTTACCAAACAATGTTATCTATTGCAAATTATCATGTTTATTAATTTGCTTCCTAATGTTCAAGAAAAATAAGGAGTTCCTTAGCACGTACAATGTGAAGTTTGAAGTACGGTGTCTGAAATTTTGTCATTCAATAATGAATGGGTTGCAACAGTGAGTATTGTCATTCAATTGCAGGTTAACAAAAAATGGTATTTTCGAGAATATTTCACGTCTGAAACGAATCTCTATACGTGATGAAACTCTAGATAACATACCCGGTATTGTAAGCGGAAATGATGCCGATTCGGAAGATAGCGCTCCAGAAGATATCTTCCATGAACGAGGAACGAAATCGTTACCGAAAGCATCAGTGCTTTGAATTTGTGGTGAATTTCATGGTTATGAAGTACTGCTCACCATAATTTTTCGTCAAATTATTTAAGATTCTATTTATTAAATATATGAAAGCTGTTCTGGAACAAAGAACGTGTATATGCTGCAAAGCAATTTATTAAGTAATATGTATTTTTTGTCTTGGAAGTCCTGGTTACAAGTTCATTGCCAACGCATAGTAATGGGTTTTTTTCTTTACTTTTCTTCTTTCTTTCATTCAGTTGAGTTATTAGTAGCGCTCTTCTCTTTGCTGATGTACATCCGAGAATGGAATCAACTCTTTTCGCATTCATTATTTTATTTTGTATGATTTAAATCTGTGCAATTCAATTTTTGAAACACGGGCCTAAAACTTTCATTTAATTCATTCACTTTCTAAAAATTATGCATTTATTGCGTTTTCTTAGATAACCGTCTCAATTTAAAGTTATTACATTAAGTTTTGTTAATTTTGGTCTCGAGAAAATCTCTTACAGTTCCTACGTCATAGATTTGTCATATGATGATGCGCGCATCTCGTACTTTCAATATTCATTTCAGTCAAAGTCTTCGGAACATAATCAACAGCTAGGATTAAAAACATCTGAATGATATGATAAGCATATGTAAATACTGACATTTATGTTTTCTTCATGTTTTATTTGTATTTATTGGAATAAGGATGATTCTTTCCATATTCCAAAATGTTTATACAAATTTATTATTACTTATGTAATATTTGTAATGTTTTCGTAACAGATTTGTTGTTTATTAATCATCATTTCCTGTTAGATACAGGAAACTAAAGCAAATACGCAAAACTATGGGTGTAAATTAAGATAAAGCTTATTAAAGTTCAAGATGCAATGAAATTGCACATGTTTCCTTTGCATTCATCACTAATTATAACTTGTTTATTTTTGTATAATTTATTAATCACAATCTCTTCCAATATCTTTACTTTTATACAATTTATTCTTGTACAAATTAATTGCTATTATTGCAATTAAAGCTGTGTATAGTAGTATTAGATCTCTTGCCTTTTCATTTTTTTTTTTACCTCAATTATCATATGATAAATACCTTTTATTAAATAACAAAGAGCGGCAGTTATCTTTTAATTGTTGAGAAGTCTACGAATGGTAGAGGTATCAAGGATTCGGGTTTTGGAATGAAATGATTAAAGGGTAATTGAGTTAGTAGCTGATTTGAGTGGTGGTAATGGGATAGTGTATATTTACCTTTTATCAGATATTGAAGTTTAAATTAAAACCTCGTAAAGTCCCATGGTGGCATTTTTCCTTTTCTAAAAAATATTTTTGTTTTATTTCTGATTTATACAAAATTATCATTTGTTCCATTTGAACATTTGATTTATACACATGTAATATTACGCAACATGAAGTTTTGGCGCATATTCTGATAATGCATTCGTGCCAGATAGCCACGAACTCGACTCTGAAATTAAATTTGAACAAGAAATTAAAATATTTGTCATTTTCATTAGCAAACAAGGAAAAAGTAGAAGAGGAAGTCCACTTCAGAACAAATTTCGTTTCATAGACATTTGTCAAACTTGCAAGAATTTGTTTAGAATTTTTCTCCCATTATTCTCTTACAACTCGAAATAAGTGCCCACTTGTATGACAATTGCTGCTTGTTGATATCTTTGTCGCTTCTTACGATTAATATAACCACGATAGTATCTCTGAAAAGATTTTATCCTCCACCAAAAACTCCATTATAATTGTGGAAATATATAGCAGATGGAATAGTAGGCAGCAATTAATTTTACGAGAACATTAATTAACGATAAACTAAGTTCAAGACATAAACAATCATTTAGACGGAAAATCGTAGAAAAAAAAAAAATCAAATAAATAACTAATTGAATATAGTGTAGGATTTTTAAACCATTTTCAAATTTTCCTTCCAATCGATAAATTATTTTAAAAGCCAACTTCATTAGCCAATCAATCTTTTCATTCGGTAATTAGTGCATGCAAGAAGGAAATTTGCAAGAAAACGAAAAATTCCACCAAAATCTATGTTAGTTCATTTTTATTTATAGCTATATTACCTGTATTATACAAGCTGCCTTTGCTTTCCTATCTGCTTCTAAGCGTAATTTTTTCAATTCCTTTCGCGCCAAATACATCCGATAAGCTCGCTTAAAATTAAAGTTTCATTTGAATTCGTGTTAAATTGAATTGAAATAACGATTTAAAATTAATCAATATAATTAAAAAGAGAACAACAATGATAAACCTGTATAATAGTAGCTGCTTGGCTTTCCCTAACAATCATATCAATTAATGTACAACTTCCAAAGAATCGTGAATTCGATGCTGGAGTCTGAAAAATCAATGAGCTCAGTTTAAATTTAAAATTGAAATTCAATTCTATTTAAAAAATATCAAATTTCACAGGTTGCAAAACATACTTAATCATATTAGTTGATCATAGTATTAGAAATTATCAGTGAAAAAGGGAAATGTATGATGTGATAGATTTGTCACAAGACCTCTAACACAGTGTCATCAATATGTTAGTAGCATTCCAGTCAAAAATAATGTTAATACTCAGAAAACTCTTTGAGATAAAAAATAGCAGATATTCTTAAAACTTTTCGATAAAAAAGATGAATTGTAAAGCAATCGATAAGCAATGAATTTATCAAATATTACTGTTACAGGAATCGATCCCATAAATTTAAAACAAATTTAATGAGAATAGAATGCTCCAAATTATCTTTCATGAAATTCTTTCGTGAAATACCTTCATTATCTATAACTTTTTCCTTCATTCTTGTTCATTCACTTAATAATTAATTAATTTTATTTTGTTCACAAATTAAAATAGGAAATGTATGTTTGCTTTTGTAGGTTCAGAATGTAATTGAAATTGATCACTAGAATTGATTGATATCAATTAACTAGTTCTTCAATAACATTTAAACATAATTTGAATAAAAAAAAAAAGAAAAAAGAAGGCTAGTTGACATTTGGTTTATTTCTCGGTGTGACAGTCTCATGCATGATCATTTTTTCACATTATTGAAATTCTGATGAACAAAGTGGATCGATCTTTTAGTGTAGAGCAAAAAGTAGTTAAACATACCATTCTATTTTATTCATTCCATAAACAAAGAAAAAAACAATTTCAATTTTTTGATGATATCGATGAATGCATTGCAAATATTATTGGGATGAAAAGTTTGGGGGGAAAAAAGAGGCACATAAGTTACATATAGGTTATTAAACATCCCCTAATTAATCGCTAATTAATTAATTTAATTAAAAGCAAATCTCTAATCAATTAATTTAATTAAAATTAATTAATTAACCTCTAATTAATTAATTTAGTTAAGAATAAATAAAAAAAAGTATGAATGAAGTGGTATAGAGTTAGTGGAAGATCAAATAAACCAAATATTCTTCTGGAAAATAAAAATCGATCAACTACTAACTTTGTCATTTAACGATTATCAATATTTGAAAAAAAAAATAAAAGCCTTTCATATGTGTAAACATTGGATGTTAAACAGGTCTATCAATTTCATTATATGATAAACTTATAATGTTTAATTGATATCAACTAGAAATGAACATGAAGAACAATTTATAAGCATGAAAAAAAAAGAAAAATGACAGACTTACAGTGATTGGTTGAAATTGTTTCATATCTATACACCAATAGTTGATTTATTTGATCCACCGATAATATGGTGATCAAAATTGATAAGTAATGATTAAAAAGAATGCTTTTATTATATTTTGGATGTACAGTTCTGGAAAAAAAAATCTTATTTAATTTAAAAAAATAAAATGGAATAAAAATGGATAAATAAGAAGTGTAAGAAGCTTTAGAAATCAAATGAACCAAACGGTACACTTGAGCTTATCCTAAATTTATTAGCTTTGTGTTCGGTAAATCTTTGAAATTTGTCTCGGTAAACAATTTTTTTTTTCATCTCTGTTTACTCAATAAATAAAACGTATGTATGAAGCAATTAGATCAAATAAAAGCAATTATTTTAAGAGAAAATAGTACGCAGCCTACCAATTTATCTTTTCCTAATAAATTTTGATGAATTATAGGATGTAATTATGAAGCATAGTTGGATACAGAAAAAATGTTAAATTACTAGTTGAAATGAAGAAATGAGCTCATATAAGATGAGAAATATATCTTTTATAGATCTATCATATTATCACCTAATTATCAGGATCACAACAATTTTCTGGAATCTTTCAAATTATTATTTAGATTGAAACTTCAAAGGAAAAAAAAATCCCTTCTTCATTTTTCTAACTACATTTGGAATCACTTATCATTCAGTAAATGTTTAATGGATTGATCGAAACAATCTTCTTAACTTATAAATTTTAAACCAAAAACTTGTTACAATAGCATAACATTGACTGTCTGATAATAATGGCATAATATTCGACTTACATTCCGTATTATTCCGAGCTTAATCATCCTTTAAAAAAACAAATTTGTTGTCGAAAGGGCAAATGGAAGCATAGGAAATATGTATAACCGATCGAATGGATCCATTAGTGAAAAGGGAAGGAAGGAAAGTCATTTTTAAGTTGGAAAGTCGGTAGCTATGAAAGAATGAATCAGTTTACCAACATCTACCCCTTTAGTTTAATGTTTGAAATCATGTGTCACTTTATTGGATGATTTTCATCGAGTAACATGGACAAAATACTGATTGCATTCTAGTGCTTTCTAATTGTTTACTACAATAGTTTTTATCTTTCGATACCTTGAACTTCAGAATTTTCTCCTCTTGAATTCCATCCTAGTTAGTGTTTTTTCTTCTTATAGCTAAATGTTTTTCAAACATTCGACAAACATGAAAGCATGAAAAATTTTAATGTGATATGTCAAACAGTGACGTAAACATGTATATATATATATATATATATATATATATATATATATATATATATATATATATATAT